ACCAAAGTAGAAATAGTCGTTAGTAAAATAAAAAGCTAGAAAAAAAAGAAGAATTTTAATTTCTTAAAAAAAACTTCCTGCTAAAGTTGTCACGGGTATTTAATTAATTTGGTCAAGACTGACATGTTCTGATTGCAGAACTATCGTCGTGATTAGTATGACGTCAGTCAGCAATTGTGAATTGAGGAAAGAAATGAATAAGGGGGGGGGGGGTAGAACTTTGTCGAGCTACAGCCGCGTCTCCCAGGGACTTTAAAAACTCCATAAGTTTCTAATTTCTATTATAAAGTTTGTACTGTACTAAGTAGGCCTTTAGTGGACAAACAAGGGCTTAAGGTAAAACTCAGGGCCAGGTCGGAAAATCAACCCGGGGTCCCCATATTTCTATTGTCCTTAAGATTTATTAGACTTTTCGGGTGTGTAATTAGTTAGGCCTGGGGCTCCCTGGTAAATCTTACCCCTGCGCCCACCTTACGTCCGCTGATTGACTGTTGTTCATAGTAGAGCGATTAATAAGCTCTCATTCAATATACTACATCCGCCATATTTGTCGTCGTTAATGCAAGGTGACTTTCTACTTTGATTAAATACGATTCATTAGAAAATCTTCACTTTACGATTCGACTTTCATTATGTACGCTTGAAACTAATATTTTCCCTATTTTTTTTTATTTATTCATATATAGCTTTTTTTAAAAAATGACGCCCCAGGTTGGTGACGCCCCAGGTTGGGCACCCCCTAGCTCACCTCCTAGTTACGCCATCGTCAACATTAAATTATTATTATTTTTTATTTTGCATACCAATATTCCAATGTCGACCTCCAATTAGCATATAGAAATCACCGATTGTAGGAAAAAAAGTCACAGGAAAAAAAAAACACAGGAAAAAAAAAACACAGAAAAAAAGTCACAGGAAAAAAAAGTCACAGGAAAAAAAAGTCACAGGAAAAAAAAGTCACAAATGTATATTTGCATGATATTTGATAATACTTTTATGTATTAAATATTTAGAGAGTGCAAATTAACTTAGGATTAATTAAATGTAATGTAATGTGTGTAGGCTGTATACGCATAGTAATTTTTATAATTCATCTAAAAATATTTATTATGAAGTATGTAGATTGTAATTATTTTAAACTTAAGATTAGTAGCATTTAATATAATGCTCCAAAGTCTACGTTTTTCATCGTGTTTTTTTTTTTAAATACTAACATTACATTACCGTGAAATGGTAAGTTCATCTGACTTGCTGCCCTCAACTCATGGCAGAGGCGTAGCGAGGGGGGGGCGGGGGGGGGGACATATGTCCCCGGGCGCCGACCTTAGGGGGGGCGCCAAATCGAAAGTTTGAGGGGGGGGGTGCAAATGAAAAGTTCGAGGGGGGGGTGCAAATCGAAAGTTTGAGGGGGGGGGGGGTGCAAATGAAAAGTTCGAGGGGGGGGTGCAAATCGAAAATTTGCTCCCGAGGGGGGCGCCAAATTGAAAGTATGTCCCCGGGCGCCGGGAAGGGTCGCTACGCCTCTGACTCATGGCAAAAATCGTTATGTTTAGTTCAACCACCTTTACTGCCCACATTTATCACGCTCATTATATAACAAAACTTAGGATCAAAACAGAAAGCCGACAAGGTTCAAAGGCTGTCATTGACGCATAACGTCAACAACACAAAATATGTTTCGGACAATGCCTACTGAGGAGAGGCCGACCAGAAATAGCCCACGGCAAAACATATGCAAAACACAATGAAGTGCCTAAATTTCTTTTATAATTAACTTTTCTACCGCGTATTTAACTAAATACGTAACAAAAGTTGAGATTGTTGTGTTAATTATCTTACAGTATTTTTACTTACAATTGTTATAAATCATTATACTTTTAACGTCTATAAATAATGTATGCTATTAAAAAATACAGCCCACAACAATAAACATACAAAATTTACAATTCTTAACAAAGTAATAAAAATATTTCTAAAAAGATTTTTGTGACTTTTTTTCTGTGACTTTATTTCTGTGACTTTTTTTCCGATAAAATTTTTCCACTGTGACTTTTTTTTCTGTGATTTTTTTTCCTAGCAAAAACTGTGACTTTTTTTCTGTGTTTTTTTTTCCTGTGACTTTTTTTTTCCGTTTACCAAATCACTAACCTCTTACCTAAATTACTCCCCAACCCCCTGATTTCTACCTGTTAAAACTCCCCCCTCCCCGGTCATCATAGATCAATACCCTAACAATCCAACTTAAACCCTACCAAATTTCACAAAAGAATTAAAAAAAAAAAAACAACCACCACACTAATCATCTCAATCTACCTCAACAACTTCCACAACCCAGGTAACCTCGACCCCCCCCCCCCCCCCCATCCCACCCCACATGCCCCCGCCCCCCCTTGTTTTCACAGGTGAGAAATTATCAGCCAATTGTGAAGCTGGAGAGGAGCCGCGAGGGGCGAGCCCGCCTGACGGGCGCCACCTATATAAGCTGAAACAGATAACGTTTCCAAATCTACTTGAAAAACTACAAACATTTCAGATAAGGGAAGACATGTCGTGCTACGTGGGTTACCCCCCCCCCCCCCCACTCCCCCACCTACTTCCCAGTATCACCCCCACCCCCAACACTTATTTCCCCCCCCCCCCCCCCCCACACACACACAAATCCACAGCACAGGAAAAAACTAAAGTGTATATGAGATGTGATTTTTAAATTTGAGGTTTTCAACACATTGTCTATTCTGACTTAAACAGACAAATAATTGAGTTTATTCGCCCCCCCCCCCCCCCCCCCACATCACACGTAAAACTAAGTGTATACGAGATGTGATATTAAATCTAAGGATTTTAAAATATTGTCTATTCTGCCTTAAATATACGTAATTTATTTCACCCCCCCCCCCCCTCCCGGCACACGTAAAACTAAGTGTATAAGAGATATGATTTTTAAACTTGCGGATTTTAACACATTGTCTATTCTGACTTAAATAGACTAATAATTTATTTCACCCCCCCCCCCCCACCCCACACATTTTCTATTCTAATTTAAACAGATTAAAAATTTATATCATTCCCCCACCCCCACGCATTTCCTATTCTGATTTAAATTGACTAATAATTTATTTCATACCCCACCATCCCCCTTCCTCTTTACAATTATTTCATATCAGGAGAATATGCGTTCATATCAATCGCTAGGCATGTCGCATGAAACCACCGCCTACTGTTCTGCCAACCATACCCATTCTTTTGTATAATTGATTTATGATCGATTACGTTTTTTTGACGATAAGAGGTACATGTTAAATCCAGACCCAACCCAACTGGCATTACTGAATTTAACACTAACCCAAACGCTTAAGCTAACATTGAGCCTAAATCTACCCCCCGATCCTGTTGCATACCTAACCAGATAACATTGTTATGCATAACGTAGCTTAAGTAGTTAGAAGCTTGGTCTATTGATATAGTAGCCCGTATAGGATTTTGGAAACAGGAATATAGTGAAACGCCGGCATGCCCAGGATTCGAACCCGCTCCAATACAGCACAACGTGGCGAAAGAAGAACAGCTTTGCCGTCCAGTTCCGGAATCTTTAATGGCTATGTATGCATGGTTTATTTCAGACATTTTTTTCCGGGTGGGAAGGTTGCGGTGGGGGGGGGGGGGGGGGGGATAAATTTCAGGGGAAGGGGGCAGACACAGGTTAAATTTGAAATTTTGTATACAAATTAGCCTACGTGTTTTAGATTCTTTTCGTAGAATGCCTGAAAGAAACTCTATATACATGCACCCAGAACTAGACTCTTACATATATATATATATATATATATATATATATATATATATATATATATATATATATATATATATAGCCATTATATCGGGCCTATATCTGTATTGTTTTTAATTAATCGCCCACCTTCTTCCCTAAAATCCCCAATTAGTCCCACCACCACAACTGAGCAACATGTTATTTTTTTATTATTCAACAACTAGATCCAGTAACAACAAGAATTAAAAAAAAAACTACAACAAAACAACAAACCACTCTAGATATTTTATAGGGTGTTCCCCGGATCCAGCGCCCCATAAACATGAGACATTTCTCACACTCAGGATGTCTCCATCGAACTTCACCCCCCCACCCCCTCCACGAGTGGACGATGTGACATGACAGTGGACCCGACTGGCGCCCCTATTATCCCCCGTAAGTAAACCCTTCACAAAAAAAAGTACCAGTCTCCCTTTTTTTTTTTTTTTTTTTTTTGTTGTAGCCGGCTATGCAAATTCACAGGTGTGCCGATGGGTAAGGTAGGGGGAGTCGAAGGCGACCAATTTTAATGCAATTTATCAGGGCCAGTTTTGGGGGTCGGCTCCTTTGATGTAGTGTCTGATTGACAGTCCACTGGTGGTATGGGACAGTCTAGCAGGCGCCAGCCGAAAAAAAAAAAAGCGAAGAGAGGAGAAGAAAAAAAAAAAAACATTCCCAAGCGCTACGCGTGACGTCACGGGGCCGGCGCCAGTCAGTCTGGGCTAACTGTTAGGCCAGGTTCCCCCCCAGCGCAATTTACCACGTGTCAAAGCCCATTTCGCACGCTACGCAAAAATCTACTAAACACAGCACAGGTGCATGCGCGATGTGTTAAGACTTGAAAAACATGGCTGAAACCAGTGGCCTCGTCAGGTGTTTTATAAAAAAAAATATATATAATTATGGAGGAGATTTCTATGAAGTGAATACATTTAATATGTATTTTAGAGGCAGATAGGGTCGGGATGTGTATTGAAAATACCGAACCTCATTAAACATCGTGGGAAACTACGCAACGTTGAACACAGGCGTTTTCATTTTATTTTTAGAAACGTGACGTAGTGGGCGGAGCTTCCCTAGGCAGAGATCGCGAGAGCTCGTTTTTCATTGGCCGCGCGTCGCGACTTTGCCAATAGTTTGCTCGCGTGTTGGGCGGAGCCAATCGATACGGACGACGCGTGTGGGAATTTTTTCAGACGTGAACGTAAATAAAGTGGTCCCTCTTGTTCGCGTCTGTATCAGTTGATGTCAACATCGGATGTACACGAGTCGTATACTGACCACCACCGCAAATTTCGGACAGTGTTAAGTGTTGAGTTGGATTAAAATTATTCTAATTTGGATTTAGCTTGGCTGTTTCTTATATTCTTCAAAAGAAAAAAAAATTGTGAAACTTCAGTTCGGCAAGACAGATTTTAAATTACGTCTAAAGCCACCCACATCATCGCCTTGTTAACGGTAGCCCCGTGAGTGCCAGACAAAAATCGATTTCTGATTCCCTCCCGCCTGGAAGTTGAGCCACACTGCACATTGCCAGCACTTGGCAAACAGTCGGCAGAGATCAATCGATTCCAGCACGAGCATGAAAGCCGTAGCGACAGAAAGGCCGAGGACTGGCAGCATTCTTGGAGTGAAGAAAGACGCCAACATCATGAAGGCAGCTAGCATCGAGTTCCGTGGGGAGAAATTCAATCTCAGCGATGAAATGAAGGTACTAGATTTAGTATTTTGTTTTTTAATTTAGTTTACATTTTAAAATAGTCAAAATTGGTACTAGATTCTAGAAATAGATAATCCAGTTGCTTAAATACTAGAATATCTATTACAAGATCTAGATCTAGACTCTACTACAAATTTAGCAATACATACCTACAACTTAAGTAAAAATTGTATTGATTATCATCGATTACAAACTTGTTAATGTTATCTATTGTTAAATGTATGTATGACCATAAATTGGATGCACTTGTAGATTAAGATTTTAATGTAAAGACCTTTGTTACACTACGCATAACTTCGATCTAAATAGAGATTATAGATCTAGATCTAGAACCATTATATATTCACACAAGCGTCAAACTACATCAACTTGTTTTAACCGACTCTGCTAAGCCGCATTTTGCCATCGACCAAGGCACTCGGCTGCTGCGTGTTTGCCGGAATTATCGATTGGACGCGGATTCTGGAATTCTAGGCATTGAGGAAAAAAATAAAAACTCCCTATCCTAAAACCTCGATCCCTCGGTTGTTTTTCTACCATAAACCTCCCTCGACAGCCTCCTCACGTTTTGTCTATCTCTCCCCTCGCAGGAATGTTTCCTCAAGCTCAGCGACATGGTCCCCGACGTCCCCAGGAACGAGTCCGGCAACATCGACGGCACCGTGCTCATGCAGTACGTCATCGACTACATCCTGGACCTGGAGCTCCAGCTCGACGGTCAGGGCAACCTCACCACGACGGCGGCGTTCACGTCATCCTTCCCCTCCAAGTTCGTCACCGACTCCTCGAGAGAGCCCTTGTCGGAGAAGACACTGGACAACATTGTCGCGTCACATTACGAGTTTCAGGTGGGTAAATTGCGAAACAACACACAAACCGTTAATTCAGTACATACAAACGTCCGAATATTTTTGAATCTATACACTATAGATATCGACATACACATTTGTTTAACCATAACGTACCCACTATGTAACCAACGTGTTATCATATAGCCCATAACTTTATCCATAAATGATCATTTTATCGTACAAGCAGTGATGTATCAGTAATTTTAATTAGGGATCGTCCATAAAGGAGGTCACACTTCTTGAGGGGGGGGGGGGGGGGGGGGGAGGTTTACGATGTCAATTTTAGAGGTTGGCATTGTTTTGCGACCAATTTAAAGAAATAAATGCGTGATGTCTTTTATGGTTGGCTATTAAAAAAAATATTAACATTTTAAAACCAAACGACCAATACCAATTTCATCAACTTGATTTAACTTGAGTTTAAAATTGATCATTAACTACAACATATTCATAAACTATTTTTTTACTAATCCATGTCCCTGCTAGATTTCACACGGGAAACTTTTGAATTACAATAATGCATTATGCATCCGTCAGTAAAATTCTACCACGCCAAATGTTTTCGATTTTTAATCAAGATTTTTTATATTTTTAAAACACTTGGTATCTGAGTGTCTTGAATCAAAATCCCTTTCTAATGTGATGTTCCTTAAAAAAAAATGTAATCCTTGTAAAATCTGTACCAGTTTAACATAGCTATAGATCTAGTTTTTACATGGTCTGGTATAATAAATATGTTGGCCTTCTATAAAATGTTATTTTACACTTATATAATTTGTCTTCTCCTTCTATAAAAATATGTCGTCATTTTACACTGGTATATAAGTTGTGTTGGTTACTTCTATAAAATATGTCGTAGTTTTACACAGCCTTGTATAATTATGTTGGTTCCACATATAAAATACGTTGTAGGTTTACACAGTCTTATGTAAGTTGTGTTGGTTCCTCATGTACAATAGTTTTACACTGTCTTATGTAAATGTTGTTGACATTTACAGATGTCATCCCCCGCCACTTCACTCAGTGATGATTTGATATCAAGGACGGGAGACTGTGACATCAGACCACCCTCTAAGTGAAATACTCCACTCATAAACACATGGTGAGTACTACTGAGATGTCATATGTTAAATGTCACATTTAAATGACATACATCAAATGTCACAGTCAAATGACATACTCATTATGTCACTTGAAAATGACATACTGTCATCCAAATGTCATGAATTATTTTTGGTCGAGGTTCTCATTATAGAAACCTACTAACTAGACATTGTTCTTGTCCTAAACCTAATTTAAGCCTAACTCTGTGTGTGGAACAATTACGCTAATTAGTGTGTTGGTGCCTTTATGTATTAAGGGACCGTGAACTATAATTCTCAACGTATATATAACCTTTAAGTTTAAAGACGTATATAATAGTCGGCTTGTCAGATGTTAATTCCACGCTATTAATAGGCCTAATGCCCACAATGAGCCTACAATCACACATAGGCCTAATGCCCACAATGAGCCTACAATCACACATAGGCCTAATGCCCACAATGAGCCTACAATCACACAGGACTAATGCCCACGATTAGCCTACAATCCCCCATAGGCCTAATGCCCACGATTAGCCTACAATCCCCATAGGCCTAATGCCTACAATTACCCTACAATCCCCCGTCTTATGGAAAAAAAATCCGGGTATATTTTTTATATTTTATTTCTGAGGTCTTCCCCCCCCCCCCCTCACCTCTAGATCAACATTAACTCAGGTTTAATGATTGCGTTTAGCCCGTTGTCTAGTCCTAACCCAGTCCCCACTACCTTTATCCCCCAGTGTCAATATATTTAAACTAAGGGGACAGGGACGGGAACGGTGGGGGGTGGAAGATTTGACATAAGTGAGATAATACCGCATTATTGTCATCCGGGCCCTCTGGCTAAATATTGACACGTGATCTAGGCAAACTTAGATGTGTGTCACATGACTTGTGGGTACACATAGAAACATTCCCACCCTCCTTTTCCTCCCCCCCCCCCCACCCTTCTACATGGGCAGGAAGGTTTTTTCGTCACAACTAACACCTGTGCCTTTGTTTACCTTGATATATCATTTTAGCTTCCCCCTCTCTAAAATGGCAGGTGTCTTGAGTAGCGTGCACATTTGTATTGTCTGTTTTGAAATCGCTGTCTGGTCCTCATTATTACTGTTGATCTGCTGTTTGTTTCGTTTTTTTTTTACTTTTTTTCGTAATTAAAAGCAGGTGGCCGGGTTATTATAACTAATTTAATTGGTTATTTACCAAGTTTTAGAAGAAGAAGAAAAAAATGTTAAAAGCGCAAACAAAATTCCTTCAGTTGTAGATTAATCATAGCCATGTTTATGTAGCTTGTGTCTATGGGGTTATCTCTAGATCGAAAATTTAAATCTTACCTTTGGCTGTCTCATTAAAATCATACAAACCTCAACATAATGAATCTTAACAGCAATCTTAAACCTAATACTAACTATATCTAGTACTATTTATAAACGTAATACTAGCCTCTAAACTCTAAACTATCCTTTGCAAAAAAAAAAATAATAATAATAAAAAAAATGAAAAATACTTTGAAACGAATACTATGCCTAAAATGATTTTGTTCAGTCTCCACCTACATTAAGAAGCTATGCCCCCCCCCCCCCTCAAACCAAATTAACAACATAACAACAACCCTAATCTGTTGCCCTTAACTGAAAGCTAACACTAACCCTAATGTTACAAACCTCAAACTTAACATTGTCCTAACACTAACATTGTTGTTTACTACAAACCTCTCACTAAAATAGTCCTACACTAAACCTAACACTAAAAGTAGTCCTTAACTAAACATAACACTAACCCTAACATTGTCTTTTACTGCAAATCTCTCACCAACATAGTCCTTGGCTAAGGCTAACACTAACTCTTACATTGTCCTATACTACAAACCTTTCACTAAAATAGTCCTACTCTAAACCTTATCCTACCATTGTCCTTTACTACAAACCTCTCACTAAAATAGTCCTTAGCTAAACCTAACCCTAACATTGTCTTTTACTAACAACGTCTCAATAACGTCCTACACTAAATCTACCGCTAGGCCTAACCCTGATAGTCCTAAACTTCAACCCTAACCATAACCAGACCACAGCCTCAAACAACCCTATCCACAACCCCTCATCGATACAACCCACCATGTGGGTCCGTCCAATCGATCAGACCCCCCTAGACCCGTCCCAATGGCGTGGGACCGTTTGATTGTTTCCTGGTGTTAAAGACTGTTTTTAATCCCGGCCTTTTGTCTGTGGTATGTAACGTCACACCTGTCGACCCCCCCCCCCCCCCCCACCTTCGGCTACCTGGACCAAATCGCATACCATTGTTTGGGTCAAACGACCCCCACCTGGCTTTTGGGGGACACACAAAAATAAATACAAAATGGGCTATAGAAATTTAATTTGTCAAAACATTCTTTGTGAGATATTTACACTTCCCATTCTTTAAAAGAAAAATACCCCCCCCCCCCTCACTTTTTTGATGATCAGTACTTCTATCGCTCTTTAGATATTTAAATCGATACCGTTAACCCTAACACGTTTATCGATAATTATTTAACCCCTTAAATCAATATTAAGCTCCGCTTAAACACTAAATGGTCACTATCCCTGACCCGCGTATAATCTCATAATTCCTACATCCACATTGCATTGCTTAGTATTGTGATATCGATACTTTAACCGTTAGCGTTAGGATTAGCCCAATAACGTATGTAAATCATACGCTGTAGACGTACACCTTCAACTTAGCTGGGGCGGCTAACACCCGGGTATACAAATACACTGATTCACGAATAACATACTTGAATACATTATTCTCTTGCTTAAGATCCTATAGAATTAATCGGCTTCGTTATCACCGTATTAAAAATATGTATTCCATGATTATTTAAGCTAACGAAACTAAAAAAAAAAAGTAGGTTGGGGGAGGGGGGGGGGACGCATCATCAACAGCCCTCGTCATCAGGCTCGCTAGCTGGTGAATTGAGTGGGGCCACATTTGCGACGGGACACGGATTCACAGCTGCGCTCAGATTGTGGGAATGCTTTCTCTCCCCTTCCTCGCCAGACAGACTGGCGCCGGCAGTCGACAAGCGAGGCGGGACTTTGCTCAAACTACTGTTGAACAGGTGTTCACCGGGTCTCCCCCACACCCTCCCGCCCCCCTTAACTATCCTTTTCATCCTATTTCTTTAATTTGAGTGCTGAATTTTACAACTTCTTTTCAAAATATTCCTTCATAAAACGCAAACAATTATTTAAAAAAAAAAAATTTAAGCTAATGAAAAATTAAAACAGATCTCAGTTTAATAATCAATGGTGGCTGTAAAATTTAAAAATAAAACAGGGAATTCCCCCGTGAAGCGAGGGTTCGGCTTACCATGCCATACTTGTTTATCATGGTCGTGTTGGTAAACATCCGTCGTTACGTAATTGATGGATGTACTGCCTGTTTTTTTAAGGACCATTAATTTGTTAGCATAGTTCTCCTAAAAGGGTGGGAGTCTTTAAATGAAAATTGATATTTTTTTTCTACTTTGTGTCAAATTTTTTTTGCGTGGAGGTGGGGGGGGGGGGGACTAGTAATGTAAATGTCCTGGCACGGTTTGAAGTCCTACACGTGGTGGAGTCCTGGTAGGACACGTGTGAGGTCCTGTGAGGACACGTGGTGTTTATGACATGAAAAACACCTGGGCTGTTGTTATTTAATAGCAAACATCAGTCAGCACTAGAGCTACGGGGTTTTTTTTTCCCTCTACCGTGCCTGGTTTGTTCAGCCGTTGATGCGGGTTGCACAGACTAGCATAGCATTAAGTCTTGAGGGGGAATGACATTTCGAATTGAGTTCTCAGACAAGTATAGATTAGTTGCCTATACTATTTTCTTACGTAATGACACAAACAAGCACTATACTATTGTCATATAATAATGTAGACAGACACAAGCAAAGCACTATACTGTTGTCTTATGTAATAATATAGACCAGTAGCGTACGCAGGGGGGGAGCAGGGGGAGCGGCCGCTCCCCCTCTGGCCATTTTCAGCAAAGTGGCGCCTTTTTGGAAACTTTTTAAACTCAAAGTTTTAAACAATGATATCTATTAAAAAATATTTTTGGTCGGCACATCTATGTAAATCACAAGATTTCTTTTCATGCAGCAATTAAGCATTATTGTACTAGTCTAGTAGTGTCTACGTTTACAACTCGTATTAACAGCTGCATCAGTTTGCCATACTAAAAATAACCATTACGATGCATCGCAATGTTTAAAAAACCTCTACGGTAGTACCACTTGGTAAGAGGGGTGTTAAGTTTAAGGCAACTGTATAATGTATTTGCTTACGAATAATTGAATTAGAAAATGTTATACATAAAACTTCACACATAATTACTTTATATATACAGTTTGAATAGTGTGATTAATTTTTTAAAAATTACAATACAGAAACAAATACAACTGATGTGGCACCTCTATTTAAATTTACTTATGAGCAAACTGCGTAGTGGTGGGGAAATTTTGACTAGGTCAACAATGTCATCACGATGAAGTAGTAGTATTCTTACAGTTTGGGCGATAGTGATTACGATTACAAATTATATGAAACAGTTACAACTCCCCTCCCCCATGGACCCATCTGTAAAAAAATATTGTCATAATACCACTGGTACTTATTTAAATATATTTCTGTAATATATATTTGTGTAATATATATTTGTGTAATATATATGTATGTTTAGAACAGTCATCTAAAAACTGACGCTATGTTCACTCTGAGTTGGTTATCTCCCCCCCCCCCCCCCTCACACACACCTCACCACCACAATTGTGTAGAGCGACATTAATGTCACACCTAGGTATACACTGGGTTGGATAATTGACCTAAAGTGAATGGACAGTGGTGAATGAAGTTGAACCCCCCCCCCCCCCCCCAACCCACCCCGAACTGATCTGTTAAGTGCATGTAGAAAAACGCGTAATGATGTACCAAAGTACCATGCCGCCAGAAAATTAGCATTTTAAACGTAAAACTCCGTGAATATTGTTTTTGCAATTACCAGTAAAAAGGTGTGTGATCAATACAGTGATCTAACCCATACCTATCACTATGTTAAAAAATGATCTTTAAAGAACACAAGGAAGCAGTAGTTAATAAGAATATATGAACTGAACTAAACGACCAAACTTTAATTAAATGAAGGCCATTATTCCGAATGTTTTTCTAGATTATCGAAAAGCGTGATTTTATACCAACTCTGATTTTAAAAACTTTCATTATGCTGTAATACTTTAGCATTTATGATGACGATATATTAAATTTTGATTATAGACAAAAACATTTTGTAAACACGAATAGTGTTAAGCAATTTCATTATATTCTTAAGTAATTGTTTACTTGCTTTGTCATTTATAATTAAATGTGTAGATATATACATATTTATATTAAGAGAGTGATTATTTCCCCTATTACACTTGTCTTAAATAATTTCCCAGGAATTATTTTGTAAGCAATTTTTTTTACAAGAATTACAAAACGGATTGTGTTACGTTCATTGTTTTTGGTTGTAGTGTAGCCTATATATATATATATATATATATATATATATATATATATATATATATATATATATATATTTGTTTAGATTGATACAATTTTTGTTTTGTCGGCCTACATTGTGTGTTTTTTCTTTTATCTTCAGAGTGCTACTTTCAATTTATTTTTCATCATAGCGAAGTAATGATATACAGCTAGTAATTATATATATATATATATATATATATATATATATATATATATATATATATATATATATATATATATATATATAATACACGTATATAGAACGTGTTAAAAATTCGGCGCCTCTATTTGCTATTTTCGCTCCCCCTACAACGAAAACCTGGATACGCCTCTGATATAGACAGACACACAGCATAGCATAGTCTTGAGGGGAATGACATTTCGAATTAAGCCCTCAGACAAGTATAGATTAGGTGCCTATACTATTGTTTATGTAATAATGTAGATAGACACAAGCATAGCACTATACTGTCTTTGTAATAATGTAGAAAGACACAAGCAAAGCACTATACTATTATTTATGTAATAATATAGACAGACACACAAGCTTAGTTTTAAGGCTTAAGGGGAATGACATTTCGAATTAAGTTCTGGACAAGTGTAGATTAGTAGCCTATACTATTCTCGTATGTAGCTACAAACACTACAATAGCATCAAGTTCATATAGATTAGTAGTAGCATATCCAATGTAGTACGCAAACACTACATTATGAATAGGAATAAAACTTAAGATTAATTTTCTCGAGAAGTAAACATATTTTATTTTAGACGATGTAGTATTGAAAAAAAATTACTAAGCATTAGCCTTGAAGGAAATAACATTTAAAATAAAGCTTAGTAGCCTAATTGTACAATTTGACGCGATTTAATTAATAGCGATACCATATAAAGGGCGTTGCTTACCAAAACAGGGTGTAGCTGTATTATTATTAATTATGTCATGGTTTGGGAGGAATTTGTTTTTCTGCATCACTACTTGTACGTCCGCTGTTTATACGTTCTACTTGTTAAACCATGTACGATCTTGGCAATTAACAATAAACATTTATATCTACGTGTCTTGTAATGTTGTGCCCTAACTCCATACTAACAAGATGTGTATTTAAAACTTCACTGGTTTAGTTTTAATTAAAATAAATTAGGTTAAATATAGTTGTCCGTAGATTAATTAATTTAATTATGTTTATTAATGAAAATAATCAAATTAATAAATTAACGATTTTTCTTTATCTTTCTCTTCACCAGAACCATGAAAGCTACTGTGATGTATCCTTCCAACACTCGCCCCCCACACCCCCTAACCCACACACACCATTGTCGTCACCATCTGTGTGGTGCTTGTCTACGTGAAGTGGTCACCTGTCTCTTCTGAATGGTCACCCTCTCCAGATTCAAGCAAAAAAAAACGTCTCTCCAGTCATCCATGGGTCACGTGACTTTTTCTTTGTTCAGTGGTTCTCATCAGGAACAGTGAGGCGACCCCCACCCCCACACAGTTTTCCCACACTCTTGATGTCTTCACAGCTGTGTTGTGGGAGGTGTGGAGAAAATACGGCGTGGGGGGGGGAGGGAGGTTTAGCTACTGTGACAATAGAAACAATGGTGCATTCAGTCTTTAACACCTGACAAGGTATACATGAACTTTGAACTGGAGACGTGAAAATAACAAATGGGGGATCACTTTGATATGAACAATTTGTGATAAAAATAAGACACAACAGGAAATCTTCAACTCGAAAGGATTAAAAAAATTTGGAAGTTTCAAGATTTTTTTTTATGTGAACTGTAATGTTTTTTATGGAGTAGTGTTTAGAAAGTTAAGTCAAGTAGTTTGTATTCGATGTGATACTAGATTTTTGCAATACTTCTTGCTTCTGTGGCTAGTGTAGAGAGAGATAGACTTTAAAAATAGACTTTAAAAAAAGATTGACTTTAAAAAAATTATATAGATTTAAAATCTAAATATAGATTGTGAATACGAGATTGTAAATTTAATTTACCTTAAATTTAATTTACGGTTTAAATAAATATTTTGTACAGATGAGAGAAATAAAAATTGTTTTATGCGAGGTCACACAAGGGCAGTTTGTACATTGTTACAAAGTGTGTTAAAATTTGAATTGAGGTCAAGATGTGTGTTGGGTGTGTCAGGTGTGTTGTCTGAAGTGTGTGGTACATAATCTGGGTGTGTTGTGTAAAACACAGCTAATTATGTAAGGGTGTGTTGATTGTTTCAAAATGTACATAGATGATTGTGGTAAGATCGGTTGAAGAAATGTAAATATGATTGTGTTTTGCGTATATGAATATGTATAAAGTGTTGCGGTTGAGTTTGGAGTATGGTTGTAGCTATGATTGTGACATGAATGTATGTGTTATCAGTTGAGTACGATTGTACCAATCCTGATTGTAAAGATGTGTGCAATCTAAGATGTTTATTCTACACTCTTTATATATGTATATTTTATACGTGAATGTTACAGAAGGCTTTTTATTTTATGTTATAATCATTTATTATACTTAAAAAAGATTATTTTGTGATTAAAACAAGATTGTAATGCACATAAACGAGTTTTATTCTTATATATTTATGTATGTATGTATATACTATGTACCAGATGGTATACTTAACTTTTTTGAGTGGCTTTTATTGTACGTGATGTGATGATACCTTAAGTGGCTAACACACAGTATTTTCTCTGTCATTCAAGTTGACCTGAGGTTAAGGGTTTAATAACTTAAAGCTGGTTGCTTAGATTATACTCAAGACACTTAGAAGAGCTTCTAACTAGTAAAAACCCTATCAGGAAGTTGATACAAACACAATAATTGAAGACCCAACTTTTGTTAGAGGGAAAGTACTCTGCCCTTCCCCTGAATCTTAAGTGGTTAACACATGTTCATTTTATTGAGGTTTTTTATTTTAATTTTAGAAAAAAAGTTAATTGGTTTATTGTTGTTTGTAGTCAAGCCACTTGGAAACCTTGTCAGCCATTCGTTTGCTAATTATCTGGACATTGTCTCTGTCACGTGGTGTTTAAATCATAATGAAAAATTAAAACATAAGCAATTTCTTTCTAGGCAGTGCCCCCCCCCCCCACCCCCAACCATGAAACATATCCATAACCCTGGACTACATAAAGAAAATTTATAGAAAATATATACTTTAACCTGTGTCCAATTGCTACCCACGCCCCCACCCATGGAACATGTCCAATAACCCTGGACTAAATATAGAAAATATATTTTAACCAAAGTCCAAGTGCCCCTCCCCCCCCCCCTCCATTCGGAGAAAAATATCTGAATGAAACACTGTTTACACGGTTTAAAATCAAACATGCTCGGTGGCGGATTTATGGGAAGGCTAACAGGGCAGCAAATTAGGGCCCTCGTAAGCTTCTCGGTGTACCACAGTTTCTTCCAGGCATCTCCCCGAACGAAAAGGAATTCATATAGAAAATATATACTTTTAACAGTATCCGTCCCCCGAAAATTTCAAGTTCCCCCCCCCCCCCCCACACTGACTACAATTCATTCACTCAAGTTCTGCAATAATACTATTATCCCTTGCAAGTCCCAATACAGATGCACCTACTGCCATCTAATATAATGTGCAGTATTATAAACCGCGGAGTCAATGTGTTTGGTGTAATATCGAGCTCATATTTACCGTAATGCTTCTACTTTTCTACATTCTATTGAAACTACAATACTTCCCGAAAATTCTACTTTTTTAATACATCTACTTTTTATAAATTCTTCTGTAATCCATGTACTTTTCTAAACTCTAATATATCTACTTGTGTACATTCTATTGTAACTCATCTTTCACAGATTTTTTCTACTTTCTACGTAACTAATGCTTATATTTGAAAACCTAATACTTGGATGTAGGCTGGTAATATTTTAATTGCACGGGGTTCACATAGTCCTGCTGTCATTTAGGCTTATACATAATCCTTTTTTTTGTAATTTACCGTAAAAAAAAAATCTTTCATTTACTTAGGTTACTTTAATCCTACTTTCACGGAGCTGAACTATAATCCGCTCCCCTAATCCGCAAGCTGATTACGTGGGTCCCAAATCTGTCCAGCGCAAGTGGACGCTGGGGGCGAGTGTTTGTCCACGTCCCATTGTTTGTCGGGGTGAACGCGGGGGCTGTCCCCACCGGTCACCTCTTCCCCCCCCCCCCACGTCCAGATGTTAGATTGTGGTCAGTGACTTGAAATTATATTTTTTTTTTGGGTCTCAAGTCACGGTGGTGTCTGTCACGGCCGTCTCACCATACAGTCAATACAGCACCCCCCTCCCACCATACAGTCAATACAGCCCCCCCCCCCCCCCACCGTCCCCATCATACAGTCAATACAGCCCCCCCCCCCCCACCGTCCCCATCATACTTTCTTATCCTCTCCACTTCCGCGTATGATACATCAAACTTCCGGATACACGTCGAGTTAAAAACAACTGTCACGTGGTCCAGTACGTAAGGTCACATGACACAAACACTTGGGTAATCTGCGAACTTTGAACTCGGTTTAATAATTAACAATGTACGTTACTTTAATTTTTTCGAGATACATTTTTTTTTTGACAAGCAAGGATGAAAAACTTCATAAATAAGTAATAACAAAAATTTACTTCGATTTCTGCATATATTATTTTCTACTTCCGGCTACGCTACCACCCACAATCCCCCGCCTCCAATGGTGCTATTGTTAAAAGTGTGGTTTTCCGTGATTGTTCAAGATAACGAAAGTAGATGGGGATAAACCAGCTGGTTTTTTTATTTTACAAGTTTTTCATATTACGTCACGATTTCCATGGAGTGGTTTGTTTGTTTGTTTGTGTCCGTTTGTATTAAACCTCTTAGCTAGAATTTCGACCCATTTAGGTTTTTGCGTGTTAAGTGAATCAACGATATTATTGACAGCTTGATTAAATTTAATTTTGTACCAGTGGCGTAGCGAGGTCGGGTGTCACCCGGTGCGGCACTCAATGGTGTCACCCCCCAGAGGCGTAGCGACCCTTCCCGGTGACAAGTTTTCGATTTGCACCCCCCCCCCCTCAAACTTTCGATTTGCACCCCCCTCAAGTTTTCGATTTGCACCCCCCCCCCCTCAAACTTTCGATTTGCACCCCCCCTCAAGTTTTCGATTTGCACCCCCCTCAAACTTTCGATTTGCACCCCCCCCCTCAAGTTTTTCTCTATATATTTTGCTATTTTTTGCCTTGGTGTCACCCCCCTAAATGGTGTCACCCGGTGCGGTCCGCACCCCCCGCCCCCCCCCCTCGCTACGCCCCTGTTTTGTACTAGTTTGATAGTGATGGGTATCTAACTCACGTGTGGGAAAACAAGAGCTGTTGGACACTATGTTTCATTCATTCTTTTTTTTTCTTGGGGGGGGGGGCGGTAAACTTTCTTCGGAGGGGCTCCGCCACCCCACAGGCCCGCCCCCCCCCCCCCCCCCCCACGATGAGATGCCTGGAAGAAACTCTGGTTGCACATAGTGGTGATTAGTACAATATCGGCTAATATGTCGGGATCATTGAAATAATTGAAATCTACTTCATCTGACTCGTGCGGTTTAAATAATAAGTATACTCCCTTTAAAAGAGAGACAACTTCTTGTTAAAATAATTTTTAAACAAAATACATATAAACCCTCTTAAAAGTATTAAACAAGTTTCGTACCTTCAATGAGAAGAATTTAAAAAAAAAGTTTAAACATAAAATTCAAAATATGCCTAATTACTATGGACTGAAATTAAAATTGTTTGACTTAATTTAAAAGCTCAACAACTTAGCTGTATTTTACGTTTATTCCCTAAAAAAAGAGTCTGATGTATTTAATCGCCGCTTTAATCAACGAATATGTCTTTTGATATAATTATACATTTTCAGGATCGTTTCTCGGTCTTTTGGCTAAGATCAAAGTGTAGTATCTGTTATGGATCTACATAAATCTTGGTCATTTGGTCGGCTAGCCCCTTTAGTTTTAGGGCTGGCTACCGGGGCTGAGAAGTTGGTCATCGAGGCATCGAATGCAAAAGATCGTGTGGTGTTGCGCCCACACATCCCTCGATTGCACATAGCTCTCGAGAAGAGCCACCTAGTACTTGTACTATGGTGGCTTCAATATACGAGTGGCTAATAATCAATTCTTTTCAGCTAGACGACGCCTACCTAGGAGCAATCTTAGGTAGGATGTTCCGTCCCGACAACATTGAACCTATCCTCAAAGCTTTATAGGAATCAATAAAGAAATGATAAATCAAAAGAGAAAATAAAGAAGCAAAATTATAAAAGAAAATAAAGAATCAAAATTAAAAGAGAAAATAAAGAAGCAAAATCATAGAAGATACTGAAAGGCAAGAAAAGACAAAATGAAGGAAAGTAAAGACATTTTGAAACAGGAAGGAACAAGAATCAAGTCGGAAAAGCAGATTCAAGAAAACTGAAGTCTAAAGCAGGGGTCGGCAACCTTTTGAGACGAAAGAGCCAAAAGTTACAATTTACAACATTACCCGGGTTTTAAAGAGCCACTAACATTTTTATGTCAATAGTATATTTGTTTAGGATATATATATATATATATATATATATATATATATATATATATATATATATATATATATATATATATATATATATATATATATATATATAAATAATCCAAAACAAATATCATTCTATATATGTATTTAATTTAAAATTAATAGCTTTGAATATATGAAATCTCATTTGAATTTGTGTTGAGAGGATCTACTATGTAAGTCAGAATAATTGCATTTGTTTTGAATTGCTCAAATCTCAAAGTGAAAACATCCTTCATTTTGTTAACATTAATGCTAAAGTGATTGAATAGTAGCATTGGTTTCATAAGGATATTTTTTTTTCAGATTTTTCGTAATTAAGTAATTTACCGCTCATCATGTATTAAACAAAAAAGTATTTTTTTTTCTCTAAACAAACCACTTCTTCAAGCAAGACATAGGCTAGGTTTTCCTTTCAGTTTTACACTTCGCTGGTTTAGTTTTTCTGTGATATCCAATATGAAGATGAATGTTTCAATTCGGAATGGACAATGTAATAGGAAGTACACTGAGATAGGGAGTAACTAAATATTCTAATAGAATAGCGAATGTTTATTGTTTGTATCTATTGTTATATCGGTTATTACCGAGTGTTGCAAACTAATAATTTTATGAGTTTTGAAAATAAAATAATTATTAATATTTGCGCATGGAGCTGAAGAGCCGCAACTCGACACCAAAAGAGCCGCATGCGGCTCGCGAGCCGCAGGTTGCCGACCCCTGGTCTAAAGGCAAGAAAGTAAAGACAAGAAGAAACAAGAATCAATACGTGAAACTGATTGTACATTGTATGCTAATTCATGTAATTTTCATGTAATAAAATGCGACCTATCCGCACAGTGAGCTCCTTGCTCGAGTGGAGTAAACTGTGTGGAGGCAAAATTATAAAAAAAAAATAAAAAATTATAAAAAAATGCATTTTCATGTGTTTTTTTGTGTTTTTTTTTATTTTTTTATATTTAGACGTTTTG